CTGCTTTTCAAATTTGTATACATGGCAGAAACATCTGGAGATAAATTTTGCTAAGAAACCTGAGCATTCAAAGTATCAGTTAAAAGTGTGAAAAAAAAAAATGTTGCAAATATTTATGGTAGGGATCCATAGCACCAAAAATTAAATCCTTATTTCACAACCAAAAAAATTCCTCATTTCAGTCGTCGCCACTCAAAGGGTGGATGAATCGTCTGTGATTTTTTTTTCTGAACGTATTTGTCACATGTAACAATCTTTTGTTTCAGGTACTTTTTTAATTTTGCACTGTCATCTCTATTTTAGTTTAAAGTCATTCAAGCATCACCAAAAGCTGAACTAATACAACTGAAGAGTTTCTTTACCAAAAAGGGCCCTATTGAGCTTCTGGGATAGTCAGGATGTGTCACTACTGAGCTAGAGAAAGCAATGATAGCAACATCCCCTCCTTGGGGAAAGAAGGGTTTTTTATTGAGAGCACAATTAGTATTTATGGGGTGTTCCACGGAACTGAGACAAGGCAGTAGTTCATTGGATAGTTGGAGAAACACCTCGGACAGTACTTCAGAACGGGTCCCACAGTCAGCACCAGGTGTTAATCTGCGTTATTAATTCCATTCTATTTTGACAAAACTCTCATCCTGGGAAAAACTCCCTGCCGGAGCTGAACATGTTATCAGCTTGGGAACAGATCTGAGAGAACCAGAAGAAACTCCAGCCTGGGAATGATTTTCCTGGATGTAATTTTCCTAGACCTCTAACAGTGTGTCCTCAAGGATGCACCTAAATTGTGTAACAGAGGCACTCAGCAGTGCACCTGCCTTCCTGGTTGCTCCATCATACAGCTTCGGAGTTCCTGCGGTGGCAGGTCTAGCTTTGCCTAAGATTTTCATGTTCTCAAACCCAAGTTTATACATGGGCCTAGTGCATATTGACATGGAAAGACTGACAAAGCCCTTTAGTTGCAAACTGATTCCTTTATGGGAAGAAATAGCAGTATATATCCTCTGAGTATTTATTTATTTATTTATCATTCTCATATACCTGGAAGTGCTGTGTTTGCCCCAGCTGCCCTCAGGACTAACAGTGGTGACTATTTAAGATTCTTTTTTTTTGTGGAGAGAACTATTCTCCCTTGTGAAAAGAGTTTGCTAAGCAGCAACATTCTTCCTACCTCAGTACTTGAACCAAACGCATGTCTCACAGCAAAAGTGAGCATATAAAGATTCAACATTAAATAAATGCACTCTTAAGTAGGATAAAATCATGCAGGGCTGATAAACTGTTTTGTTGGCCTTTTTTATTATGCCTCTGAAATACTCTTATTGATGGGAATAAGTAAGGGTTCTACAGTCAAATAAATGTTTTATAAAACCGTGGCCTGCACAAGTGGCAGCTCTGAAGACCTTATTTCCTTGGGCATAAGTAACTGCACTATGAAATTCTACTGACCAAGAAAGATGTTGTTTCCAAGCCTATTCATGCGCTCCTCCTGTTCCTGAAATTTAGCCCTGTCAAGCTTATGATTCACAGTGACAGTGTGCTGCTTTCCAAGAAAATTTGAATCTCAGTTTAGGTACTGAAATAGAAATAGGTGAATAGGTGCCTAGGACAATGATAACCACACTTACAGGGCCTACCATAAATCAGGAGGTTTTTCCTAAGATGAGACACAACATTTAATTAAACTTAAAATACTGACTTGTGTGGATAAAGAACATCTGTAGTAAGAATTTCTAGCAGAATTACTGCATGGGAAAAGTAAAAAGCCCTTCAACTGAGTCCAGCTCTCATTTGTTGACTTCACTGCTTTTTTTTGATAGCTTGAAAGTAACACAATAAATATGAAATTTACTGCAGTCATCCAGACAGCAGCTTTTAATGCAATAATAAAACCAGTCTTGATATATCTTCCTTTGTTCATTATTTATGTTAGTGAAAGAACCAGTAAACATACAGTGATGTAACTAAGAGCACAATTTGCCCTACTGGCTGGAAAAATCAAAGCTGCAGGGAATGCAATATGGGATGAAAAACCCGTGCCCAGTAGACAAAGAAGGATAAACTCCCAGATTGCCATGTCTGTCTTCATGTGTTAAACTGTACACTTTTCATAAAAAAGCTGTCTCCTACTATTTGATTTTAAGACAATTAATCCAAAGGTAGCTGCTAGGATCTCTAAGCAGCATTAAACATAGATAATAATAAATACTGTAAGATGATGAGTGGGGTTACTCTGTGCTGTGTTGTATGTCAGAAATGAATAATGATATTTCTTTGAAACAAATAATCCAAACAGTATACTAAGTTTGGGATATCTAATATAAGTATTTTATTAAAATTCAGATAGTTCTGGAAACTTTTAGACTCACTTGCCTCTGTTTTGGTAGTCAGTAGGAGAGCAGTGAATTTAAACCAACTAAAAGCTATTTTTAAAAAGAGATTTTACACTACTTTTGAAGTTCTGTGTAACCACGAGAAAACTATTTTAACCATTATTTAATTTTTCTGACTTTTGGATGAGATGCATCTGGTAAATAAGAGATCTGAAAATGGGATTCCTTCCAGTGCTGTAAGAAGCCCTTGTATAAAACCAGATAATTCCTCTGTAAGCCTGTGCAGTCAAAAGAAATGGTTCTATACCTAGAGAGAGCTCTCTGCTTCTAAACTTGCATACACTTCCCTTGATTTAGGCAGCTGCATGAAATCCTAACTAATCTATAAGGAAAATAAAACCAAAAAACCAAAAAAATAAAGACTAAAAATAAAACAAAAAAAGCCAAATACCCCCCACCAAAGAGGACTCATTGCTATCTCAATAATTCTTTAGAATAGAAAATAAAGATTCTACAAACACCAGATAAACAATGCAATTTCTATGTAATACTTCCTTTGTAGCAATCAGCACTTACATTTGATGGAATTCAATTCCTCGGGATGTTAAAATGCTTCTTATCTGCATTTAATTGATAAAAAATATCCCTTTAAATGCTAATTATCTGTTCCATGACATTGTGCCTTTCACATTAGGTAAAGCCAATGACAACAAAATGGTCCTTTCCAGAAATGTAAACATCTACAGAAGCAATGCTTCAGAACACACTGAAAATACATGATGTTTACCACTTCCCGGGATTCCTTTTGTGTATCTCAGACCATTCTCTAAATATTAGAAAAATTAACCATGTGATTTCTAACATTACTTTTTTCACTTTATCGATATTGTTGCCAGATTTACTTAATTTGAGCAGTATCTACACCTATCACAGAACATTCCCTTCAGAAATCTTCCTGAAGCTTCCTAGTGGAACAGCTTCTGTTAAAGGAGAAGTAAACTAAGGTCAAAATTTGCTGTAAAACCCACTTTTGTATTTTCAAGAACCTTCCAGGTCACTCCAGAAGACCACGATATGTTTGTGAGATGGCTAGCAGCATTCACTTCGGTCTTCAGAATTGCCAATAAATGGGTATTGTTACAAGCAAGAGACACTTTTTGTTCAGTTCAGGTCAGAGATCAGCAGATTTCACATCGTGTAAAAGAATTCTCTAGAGCATTAAGCGATAAACCCATGGACTTGGCACATAAGAGTCAGTGATGAGGCTTGAACAAGGTAGGAATAGGAACATAAGTCCATACTAGTAGTGTCTCTGAAATATTTTTATTTTTTAAGACAGGTGATTAAACTGTGGAGAGCTTCAGAATATTAATTTTCTGATGAGAACAAGACAATTTTCAGTGTCTGATTGTAAAAGACAGAACAGTGAAGGTTGACTCCATGTTTATTTAATCCTAAGCACATAAGAAAAAGGAGACAACAAGGCCTGCATGATTCATTTTGGAAATGGTCAAGTCCTGAGAGCTGCTAATGAGACTGCAGTTCATAAATACATACAACATGGCAGAAAAGTAATTGATATAGAATTCTTGTTCAGAAATACAAATTTCTAAAATTGTATTGAGAATTCCTGAAATTTCTTTTAACAGGAAGGACATGCTAGGGCAAGCAAGGATTCTCACTGCCCGCACATGCTCCAAGATCCCCGTGCCAACCTTTTACAACTGAACACTTTTTCAGCATGATCAGCAGTGTTGTACCAGTTATTCAGTTGTTAATGTGGAAAAGCTTAGATGTTAAAACCCAGTACTCTTTAGAAAGAAAGAGATAAGGGGAATGTAGGGCAGGTATAGCAAATAACTAAAGAAAATGGGTATAAATAAACCTACCACAGTGTAACTCAATTCTCTCTCTTTTTACCTATCTTCACAAATTCCATGGGTCATGCCAAGAAGGAAGACAATATTTTTGTAAATATTATTTTTAGGATTTTACAGTGTTAATATTCATAATACATCATTCACTTCCATAAAGTAAATGTATCATCATACCTCTAGATCTTTCCCCTAAATGTTGCTGGTAACAGTAAAATAGAGTCACAAACAAGCTACTTGTCTTTCCATACTACTTAAGCCCTATAAAGAACATTTTTAAAGTTCTACTGACCTCTGTAGACACTAAAACACAGCAGAAAATTCTCACATCTGGAAAAGCAAACTTGTTTACATGTATTTTCTTAGCATTCAATCCATCAGCTCTAGTTTTTAATGAAGCATTTTTTTTCCTTTTGGCAGAACTATTTATTTGTATTAGAAACATGCATAATTTCTGGGAAAAGATTCTTGCAGCCACCTGTAGATGCTTCATGAATGACTGATCTACATCGATGCCATAGGTAAAAGGAAAAACAATTTGAATTGTAAATTGATACTTGCAGACTACTAAATCTTGCTGCATGCTACGCTGGGCAGTATGTTGAAGACCCTGGAGATGTTTATTTAGCTGCCATTTGAAACTGGCATAAATAAAAGAATCAAAGACAACAAACTCCATTAATCACAGCTCCACTATCAAGGCTAACCTACCAAAAGGATTGACAACATACAATTGCTGAAAAAAAATAAAGACATGTAATGAAATATTTTACTTTTATACTTGGTACTGAGGATGGCTCACCTGAAGCAGACTTTTTCATCTCTTTTCAAATGCTTTAGGGAGACACCATCTCTCTTTCTGGGACTGGTGAGGTGGGACAGCTGCCTAGACACCGATGAAGAGCACGTGAATTTTGCTAAAAGCGATGAACTGAACAGAGCTCACAACGAGAACAGAGAGAGAGAGGAGCCAGATGGACCCCTGAAATTTGAGCTCGATATTTGTCACCAAGATCCAGAATACAAGTCCCCAGCTCCCTTGCCACATGCCCAGGTCAAACTGATCACCAGCTGGGAAGCAGGATGGAATGTAACAAATGCCATTCAGGTAACCTTTTATTTCCACATTTATTCCACTCATCATTTGAAAAACCTGGCCATCACTTAGTCTGCTCTATTTTACTTAGCTGTACCATCATTTTGCGTATTCTAAAAGGTTTCTGTGAATTTATTACTCACGTATTTGAATCTTTCTGCATAAGATTAGCACTCTGATAAAAGAGTTCCAAAGGGAAAAACTATACATATGTTATCTGAAGTATAAAAAGTGTTTAAATTAGGTGAAATTGAAAAGGTGGTGATAGCACCTGTTTTGGCATTGCCAACATTATCTTTAACAAGCATATTTGAATTCAGTGACAGAGATGTTTGATAGAAATGTGAGGTAAACATCTAATAAAAAGAGGATGGTAAGAGCCAGACTGACGTCAGACATAAATTTACTGATATGTAAGTTAAACTAGAAATAAATTGAAGCACGAAGCACAAGAAGTGTAATAATACTTGTCAGTGTTAAAGAAAATAGGTTGAATAGACTGTAAGCATTTGGTCCCAGCATTCTGTGTGGAATTTGAGTATCTTTCCAAATCCTTAAATTTAGCATTAAATGTTTCAGAATCTTTTTCTCACTTTTCATGATTCATTTCCTTACATAATTCTGTCATTACCACTAACTTTCTGTCTGACATAGTAAGAAGAAAGCAGCATCCACAGATACATCTAGTCCCAGTATCTGTTGCTAAAACACTTTTTATGCCACTTTAATTATAGAAAAATAATCCTTCCAGTGTCACACAAGTCTGACTATGCAGATGAACATTTGCTTACATATCCAGTGCATCCCTCAGCTCTGCAAAGGATGAGAAGAAGGACATATTTCTAACCCTGATGTATTTTCAAACATGAGCACCACCACATGAGAGCCGGTGCAATAACAGGGCACTGTAGCATATCATACTCTGAAAGTGTTCAGCTGTGAATAAAAGTGTGAAGTCCTAAAATACCCCAGCTGCATTCTAGTAACGCATTTTATCTTCAATCTCCCTCAACAGCATTGAGTCAGGACAGGACTCTGGGATGAGAGCCCATTGTCTCTCTAGAGTCAATTTTGCATTCGATTTCACCGAAGCCAAGATTTTATTCTGGAAGTCAGTTTTGTCAATATTTGCTATGTGACCTTTTGGCAAATCACATTCCCTAACTCATTGTTTTCCTTCCTGAAAAACAAAAAATAATAATGTCTCTGTAAGTACACCAAAGTGCCAAAAAATCCTAAATACTGTCGTGTACAAAATTACTGTTAATTATTAATAATATAGCCTTCAGTTAAAAAATAGACTGATAACTCATTTTAAAACACAATCAAATATGCAGTTGCCTATTTAAAATCAGGACAAATTCAAGCTAAATTATCCAAAACAGACTCTCAGCATGCTGAGTGTTGCCTACTATGGCTCTCATTTGGTAAAATATTTTAGAAGTTAGCATTTAAAAGCAGTTAGCTACAGCTGAATTGAGGTTTCTGCCTAAGGCAGGCTGAGGTTGCAAAACCTCATGGAAACTGCAGTTTCATTAATAGTAAAACCAAAGTGCCCTAATGACACGTTATTAAATCGTTTGCATGTGTAACCATATATGTGAATCTATGTACACATATTCGTACTATTCCTGTTTCCAAATACCTGGGATTGGGAGCAAGTAAATTGGTTTAAAAACAAAGCTGAGAAAGGAAAGGGGAAAGGCAGGAGAGGAGAGAGAGGAGAATATTGAATGGGCATCTGTCAGTAGAAAATAAAGAGTTTGAAGAAATTTCTATGAATAGCTTTGAGAAGAAAGAGTTGGGAACAGAATGATTAAAACAATGTAAACGTTCTTGACTGGTGAAGACCATCGTTGATAAAATGACAGTTGTTTTGCCCTACCCAGAGGAAAGGGCAGAAGTGTTTTGCATGGTAATTAGAGGTAAAATTTCAGTAGAATTTTGAAGCATTCTGAATGGTTATTCCCATGAATACAATTAGTCTAAAAATGAAACTATTTTGCAATCCAGATTTATTATGGGAACAATTAAATATTTGGTCTCTGAAATGAAATACAAGGGTTTTCTCACAGCATTTTAAATATCTGTCTTTTCAAACAAAGAAGAAGATTTTTTTATTTTGTTCTTAACTTGAACTGAAAAAATATGCACTTTTGGTGCTGATACTGTATGTGTAAATGATTGCTTCAGACATTTAAGTTTCCAGGGAAACATGTTTCGTATTCCAGTACTGCACAGGCAAATCACAACCTGTGTTTGGTTAATCTAGATGAGGACAGAGACCATAAAGCTGAGTTAATTCAAATGGGAAAATGTACAGCATCATCTGGCAGAGAGATGCAAGGTGCACTTGTTTGTATGTAGCAGTAAAAGGCCAAAATTATTTGTAATGACTTGTACAGTGGTGCTGGATAGATAAGCAATGCAATAGTCACAAAGAGGAAGGTAGTTAAATTCTAATGGTACAGTATTTCACAGCAGAGCCAAAGGACAATAAGGACTATTTATTTGCCAGTCACATTTAGTAGGATTTTGCAAACACTATGGAGAAAGCCAAACTAAAAGAAAAAGGCATTTTTTATATTATATCATGAAGAGGCACAAAAGAATGGAGAAAAAACTAGAGAGAAAGAGACGTGAAATAATGGAAAGAAGCGAAATTATGTTTATCTCACCTATAATTTATACTTTTGTAATTTATAACTGTAATTTATACCATTGTGAGTCAATCTCCACTTAAGTCTTGGAAGGACCTAAGATTGAAAAAGTCAACCACTTTACCAGAAAGCTTCAAGTGACTTTCAGTACTATAATGCCTGAACAATCTTTAATACAGGCTAATATAATTACACAATTTTTCTCTGAATGTTTGGTAGAACATGATGTATCAAATCTGGCTCAAAAGCAGCCCAGCAGCAAAAAACCAAGGGATGTTGGCCAAAGCAGCTAAACATGAGCCAGCTGTGCCCAGGTGGCCAAGAAGACCAATAAGGGGGCTGTATAAGCAATAGTGTGGCCAGCAGGACCAGGCCAGTGATTGTCCCTCTGTACTGGCCATGGGGGAGCCACTCCTCAAATCCTGTGCTCAGTTTTGGGCCCCTCACTACAAGAGTGACATTGAGGTGCTGGAGTGTGTCCAGAGAAGGGCAACAGAGAAAGGTCTGGAGCACAAATCCTGTGAGGAGCAGCTGAGGGAGCTGGGGGTGTTTATCCTGGAGAAAAGGAAGCTCAGAGGAGATCTTGTGACTTTCTACAGCTACCTGAAAGGAAGTTGTAGCCAGGTGAGGCTACTCAGGCAACCAGTGACAGAATGAGAGTACAAAGCCTCAAGCTGTGCCAGAGAGGTTCAGGTTGAACATTAGGAATTACTTCTTCACTTCAAGAATTGACAAGCATTAGAGCAATCTGCCCAGGGAGGTGATGGAGTCACTATCCCTGAAGATGTTCAAGAGACAACTGGACATGGCACTCAGTGTCTTGGTGCCAAGGTGGTGATTGGTGAAAGGTTGGACTTGGTGATCTTAGAGATCTTTTCCAACTAAAACGATGCTGTGAAATCATACTGAATGTTCTCTTTGATTCAATATATCTGATACCTAATGTTGCCAACATTCATATCTTTCCTTTTGTAAAAAATTAGGTTGTACAAAGATTAGAAATACCTGTAGCAGGCCATATTTTCCTGTTCCATGATCAGAGAAACAATAGGCTGCTTGACTACTGTAAGTGCTTCTAGGAATAACAATACTTAAATTAGCATTATTAATCATTATTTTTCAATGTGTCAATAGTAAATTACCAATTATTACAGTAGTAATAATAAGTATTCTCATTATATTTATGTTCTATATTATACATTCACTTAGAAAAGACTCAAGACTTCAATAATCATAATATTAAAACCTGAATATCCATATATCTTTCACTGCAGGCCTTTAGAACCATATTTCTGTACTGGGTCCCAATTTAGTTCATTTTAACTTAGGTAACTGCAACTCCTAAATACTTAACTGGAAAACACACTGATGCTGAGGAACAGAATTAGTAGACATGCCTCTAAAGATATAGAGGCAAACATTAGAGGGGTGTCTAAACACCCCTCGCATTAAGCTTTACTGACACAAAATTTAAACATTTTCTAAATATAAATATGTACATGCTTGTGTGCTTAGAAAGCAGTCATTAGATGTATAATGATATAAATCCTCTCATCCTGAACCTTAAATAATTTAGTCATGTTTGGATAAATAGCCACTTGGATTTTAACTGCAGCATTTGATCTTAAGTATTTATTTTCCACATGTGAGAACAAGGGTCAATCTTTTCTTGAGCATAAAGCAGTAACTTTCTGAGTTATACATTATATATTAAAGCTGAAGGCATATGCATTGAAGCTAAAGTCATACTCTGAACTAAATTATAGACATCTGAGAGAAACTAACTTCTGCATTTCATATCAAGATGTGGTACTGAGAATTGAAGGGAGATGCCCAAAGCTGATATCTAAATTAGGACCAGAAATTAATTCAAGTTTCCAAATGAAACATCAAAAAATGACAGCAGAAAGTAAAATTCCAAGATACTGAGACTATTGTGGTGCACATAAAAATTCCAAATAGTGAGTATGATTTTAGCTGAAATGCACAGGCAGTACTGGCAAATTTATTTTTCCAAGACTTGCAACCACAAACCCTTATAGTCAGAACTGCAGACCCCAAAAAATCCTGGTGAGAGCCATCTAAATTCAGATCTGTTTTTTTCTATGATAGAATGTCACCATTATGCAATTCAATTGATAAAAGATATATTTTAGGGGAGAAGACTCTGTAACAAATGTTTGTGCCCTGGTTTTCCCTTCTGATTTTCTCTTGATGGAAAAAAAAGATTCCAGACATACATCACTACTTTGTATAACGTTTTATTTCAGCTCAGACCCTGTGGTAGGCTTCTTTTGTGCACGTATTCATAGAGTACAGAGAAGGCTGCATTCAGGATATATATCTTCTCTA